TTAGTGAGGACACGGCCTAATATAAATGCAATGTACCACTCTTTTTATGGCATGCTAGACTATGGGGCAATTAACTTACAGCTTGGCTAGGCCAACAAAAGGCCCAGGACCTGTAATTTTGTTCCGCTACAAGGCATTCATAAGGCACTTTGCCTCAATAGTGTCATTACCTTGACCCAGAATATACAATGTTACTGTTATTACTATTATAATTTTCAGTAACGCATGAGTTAAAATTTATAGAGGGAAGTTATTTCTTATTTTTTTCATTAACAAAAGAATGAACTTGAACAGCAGGAGCTCAGATGTTTAGACCTGTTTCTTTAACTTGAAATATAACGGCATCCATCGACATCTACAGGGTTAGTATTGGTGCTTAGTGAGACCAGCCTACCATAAAGCGTTAGTAAGTTGGTTTTTTTTTAATCAAACCCATCTCCTAACAATATCTAGAACAACTCACTTTAGAGCAAATTTAAGAGTAAAACGAGTCTAACATTTGCGTATTTAGCCTGGTTTAAAACATGGATATAGGCCTAGATAGATATTCACGCAAATATACAGGCAAATCATTCCAATTTCAGTGCAGCAACTGCAAATGCTATATCACCATGGTCTATAGTTGACTAGAGGCGTAGAACTTAGGAATCGTTGGCATGTGATTGACATTGGCGTAACTGGCACAGGTTTGGCTGGTTCATAGAACCAGGACCCCCGATCTCCAGGAGCCCCCCGATATTTATTGATAGTATTGATCTTTATATAATACTGCGCAATATAATTTAAAATAGTTATTAATTAAACATAATCTATTATACATACCTAGGCCCTTATGCCTAGATATCATCATGATGGATGGAATCCACTGTGAAACAGATCGTCTTCAATGCATGCATGGAAACCTGACCAAAAAACGAATATCGTTTGTGTCAAACTGTCCTTAGCTTTCTCTATTGTTAAGACTTTACCGCGGATTTGTGCAGGGGCTTTTGATCCTGCACCCTGACCGGGGCCCTTTGAGGCCCATTAAATGACTGGGTTAAGTTGTTAACTTTTCCATGTCTGGGAGAATCATTTCCATATAGCTAGAGCTGCTCTAAAAAAAAAAAAACAAACAAACAAACAAACAAATAACAAAAAACAAAAACAAAGACAAAAACCCCACACCTCAGCCACAATCATGGTGGGGCTGAGGTGCGTGTGCAATCCCAAGCCAGCAACTTGGCAGCTATGACTATAGTGTCTCTCACTCTTTGTCAACATCGTTACGATCGCCATCATTTATCCTCGTTGTCATCATCTCATCCTCATCATCCTATTATTTCCTATTTTTACTGGTTATCTAAATGAAAAACATTCTCCCGGGTAAGACCTCTTGACCACTGTAAAATCAACCTCATTCAAACAATAATACCTTCCTTCCCCGCCCAATTTATCACAAAAAAAAAACCAAAAAACTTTCTCTATTATTATAACCTGTAGCTATAACTTTGTCACCTTGTAGTCTGTCGTCTGTCTGCCTTCAACAAACCAAGAATTAGTAAATATAATTAAAACTGCTAATAAGGTCAGGGACGTATCCAGGGGGAGCCGTGGGAGCCGCGGCTCCCCCCTTTGTACACAGTGTTACAATTTTAAAGCTTATTCTTGAGCCAATACAAATTCTTTCCTGGGATCACTCAAAATGAATACTTCTAAACATGTAAATATGCATCAGTACACGTTATACATAGGCCTAATAGAACACATAGGCCTAAGCGTGATTTAAAAAAATCTTAAATCCATAAATCTCAGGCGATACTCTGGTATAATTTCGTTTTTATCCTTTTGCAAGTTTCTTTAAATGTTTGTTTAATAATACTACTACTAATAGTAATAATAATAATAACAATGATGATGATGACGATAGTAATACTTGATATTAATATTAATAACAATAAAAAGTGAAGAAACTTGTGCTAAATGCAAAAAAGTTGTGATACGTTGATCATAATATAGTATATATAGTTAAAGCTTAGTAAGCTATAATTAGGCCTAAGTTGTCCTGGATATTAAGTATATCCCTGATAAAAGATCATGAGAAATTTGTTGGCGTTTCATTTTGACTATAATGGTAATGTGATGATGATGAACTTTACTATATAAAAGTGTCATTTCAAGCCATCTCGAGAGGTACTATTTCCTCAAATTTTCTCACCTCAGCCCCAGCCATAGTGGGGCTGAGGTGGTTGTGAAATCACGTTTTTGAAGTAGGCCTATATAAAGTACATACTCAAAGACAATGTTTTTAAGCTTTGTTTTCTATGGGATACACACATACATTAATAAGATCTGTATGGTTGTCAAAAATCGCTGATAAAAAATCATGAGAATTTTTTTTTTGGCGCTTCATTTTGACTAATGGTGATGCGATGATGATGAATTTTACTAAAAGTGTCATTTCTGGCCATTTAGAGGTACTATTTCCTCAAATTTTCTCACCTCAGCTCCAACCATTGTGGGGCTGAAGTGGGTGTCGACTCACAAAATGCCCTCCCCCTCCACCTTTCAAAACAGATCTGTGCCCTTCCCTGGGTATGACATTAAACTCCATCGAGTCGGCTCCTTTTGTATGTCTTAGTGACTGCTGTTTGTTTTTTGGATGTGATCTGGTTTTTCATGTACATTTTTCGTGATTATGA